TCTAATAAAAATAAATAAATTTTTAAAAAAGATAGTAGGAGTGACATGTTAGATGTGCAAATAAGACGATATGTGGGTTTAAGACATGAGCACTGATGCTCAGTGAGGAAAGACAGTGGGTTGACGTTGGGGGAAAAACACTTAATGTGGAGCTGGCATTGTGATGTAGCAGGTAAAGCCATCACCTGAGATGGTGGCATCTCATATGGGTGCTGGTTGATGTCCCAGCAGCTCCACTTTCCATCCAGCTTCCTGCTAATGGCCTAGAAAATGAGTGGGTGATGGCCAAGTGCTTGGCTTCTTTCAGGATCGTGGGAGATCCTGAAAAAATTACTGGTTCTTGGCTTCAGCTTGGCCCAGCCTGAGCCATTGTGGCTGAGGAATGAACCAATAGATGAATCTGTCTTTCTGTCTCTCACTTGCTCTAGCTCTGACTTTAAAGTAAATAAATAAATGTTTAAAACAAATCTCTTAGTGTGTGTTAGCTTTAGTTGTCTCCTCTGCATATTGGGACATTGGGAATGATAAAGAATAAGATCTACCTCTCACAGGTGTGAGTATTAAATGAGTTAACATATGTAAAACCTTCAGACCCGTGCTTGACACATAGCATATGCACAGCAAGTTTTATCTAGCACCATCCTCATTGACAACACAGTTATCACCACCACCACCACAACTACCACCATCATCACCAGTCATCATCTGTAGACACAGGCTTAGAGGAATGGACTACACCAAGACTGCACTGTGAAGCTTCAGTGGCCGCACCTTTAGGTTGCAAGTTAGTTGTAAATTGCCAGAAAAAGTGCTTCCTTAATTGATCTGAAGCAAAATGTTCTCTGTGTAGAAAAGCCAAACGCAAGTAACCCGAGGGTCTCCTTGCTGCAGTGAGTGGAGCTTGATATTGCCTCAGAGTAGGACACTGCTTCTAAAAAGCCAAATTTAAGATGAATGTCATACATGGGAGGCATAACCTCAAGCTACTAACCTGAGTTAACTGCTTGCATCAACTGTACTTATCAGAGAAGCCTTAGCAGAGATTGCTGCTTTGGGGAGATCAGATAGTGAGCAGCTTTGATGGTTACTAAGAAGACAGGGACACATGAAATGGGGCAAAGACAGAGCTTTTCCCTCCTGATCAGATAGATCTAAGAGGCCAGAGGCCAGAGCCAAAGATGGGGAGAGAGGGAGGGTCAGGCAGAGCACAAAACACATTGTGCGAGCAAGTACTGTGAGCCAAAGACTGGGTTAAGTATTTTACATGCATTTCTTATTTAATCTTCCAATCAAGAAGTCTTTTCTTTACTTAAAAATTTTTTTTAATGAAAAGGCATATTCACAGAGAAAAGGAGACCAAGATCTTTCATCTGCTGGTTCATTTCCCAAATGGCCACAATGGCTAGAGCTGAGCTGATTCAAAGCCAGAAGCCAGGAGTTTCTCCCGGATCTCTCATGGGGTGCAGGGTTCCATTGCTTTCCCAGTCCACAAGCAGAGCACTGGAAGGGAAGTGGAGTAGCAAGGACACAAACTGGTGCCCATATGGGATGCCTGTGCTGCAAGCAGATGGTTGGTCTACTGAGCCGCTGTGCCAGACCAGCCTTGATGTTTTCATCTATTCCCACTGCTAAATGAAAACACTTGAGTCTGGGTAGTTCTCTCATAGCTCTAGACCTGGAAGTTGAAGATCAAGGAGTCAACAGATTAGGTGTCTTGCAGGGGCTTCAAGATGGCCCCTTGAATAATAGCTGCTGACTCCAGAGAGGGCGAAACTGGGTGCTCACATGGCAGAAGAGGTGAAAAGTCAAAAAGGGCCCTAGGGTGCTTTCCTCAACATTGTTATAGGGACAGTAATCCACGTAATCACTTTCCCAGAGACTCCTGCTCTTAATGCCCTGGGGACCCTCATCCCACGTAAGAATTATGGAGAGACACATCTATGTCCAAACTATTATGCCAAATAAGGTAGGCATCATTTTTAGCATCATTTAACAAAGCAAGAAACTGAGCAGTGGAGAGGCTGAATAACTTGCTCAAAGTTACAAAGCTACCCAATGGGATTGAGGGAACAGGATTACAATTTGGATGTTTGAAACTCCAATAGTGACCTTAAAATCTAACAAATAGAGACAAAAGTGGGCATTTCATATGATGTTGAAATGGATAGGCACCTTTAAGGAATTCTGAATGAGCACCCAGGGTTTCATTCCTGGCCACAGAGGCCTTGATTTCAGGGCCGATCAACTCTTTGCTCAGATGACTGCAGCCCCACAGAGCCTAGCCTTAAGAAATGAAAGTGTTTCAGCACATTTCTACAAAGGGCAAAGTCATGAAGGGTGACAATGGCCTGAGAATGGGGGAAGATGATATCTTGGATCTGAGACTAGAAAAATGAGCACAATTTGGTTAAGAGAAGAGAACGATTAGATTAAAAACGGATTCTCACAAGTGTTCAGTTCTTTAAATCTTGCTCTACATTGATGTCTTCAATTTACTGTTGCCTAGCTTTGGTTTGGATTGGTTTGCTTTTGTGTGTTTTTGTTTTGTTATTCTTTTACGTCAGTGCATTTGGAAAACAGGGTAATGTGGGGAAAGTACAGAAAGCTAATGAATGAGTGCTTTAAGCTAAGGCTATGGAACAGAACTTTCCAGAATGATTGATGGTCTCTATTGTGTGTTGTCCAATATAATAGCCAATAGCCACAGGTGGTTACTTGCTGAGCAAGTGAAAATGTCCAATACAACTATAGAATTGAAACTGTAACTTCATTTGAAATGTAATCAGTAGTTACTAGACAAAAAAGCACTGCTCCGACCACTGGTGGGTATGCACATCCATACCCTACTAAAAGTGCAATGAAATATGAAGGTTCCTGTGGCACCTAATCAGGGGCGCTTAGGAGAGTGTGCCTGGCTTGCTTCACCAAGGGCTGGGAATGCTGAGTTTCCTTACGGAGCCTTCAGATTTGCACAGAACCTTCAGGTACACAGATGATCATTTCCATAAGATCCCATCACTTCAGATGTTGATAGCCAAGCCCCACAGCGGATGAGGGTGGAGATCAGAGGTCAGATCTTTCTCCTCCAGGCTGGAATGCTTTCCAGGGGCAGCGGCAGAGGAGGGATTACCGGCTCATGCATGAAGATGGTGCTTTGCTTCATATCCCTTTTTTCCTACTGGGCCAATCATGGCACATGGAGCTACAGTCTACCAATGAGAACCCTTCCGTGCTTGTGATGGATGCAATAGGAAGATTCCTGAAAGTTCCAGCCATATGTTCAAAATTACAGACTGAGCACCAACCTTGTTCCAGTCACTGTAGTAAGTGTGAGAATATACCTGTGAACAAAGCCAAGATTCTTCTCTTGTTCAGGTGGCAATCCTGGCAGAGGGAGCCTGATGATAATATGCAGGGCATGGACTGCATTTCTATGTTTTAAAATGTATCACGGCCTCTCATCTTTGATGGCACACAAAAATACCACTCGGGGCATGTTTTGTGTAAATCTGGACTTGCAATGCAAACAAACCTTCTGCCTTGGTAGAAGGTGGGAACACACCTATCAACAGATTCTTTTTCACATGTGTGGAGTGCCACCTATGTGCAGAGTGTGATATTAGGGACTTTGGAGAGAGCTGGAAGAATACGGCTGGCTCCACTCTGAGGGGTGTCCTGATGAGACATGGTGGCAGCCCCTTTGCTTAGGAGAGACCAGGGTGTGGAAGATGCTGACAAAGTCTGGGAAGGCAAACGATTTCAGCACGCGCTTATGAAGGGGGGAATTCCAGATCCTCGCACATGGCACTGCAGCCCAGCCTGTGTGGAGTTGAATAAATAGTCTCCCTCTTGTAACGGTGGCAAACTGGAAAGGGGAGAACTGGAGAGGCACCATAGGAGGTGTCGTCGTCTGTCCCAGAAATGAAGAGAAAGCCAAAGGAAGCCTGGCTCTGGATGAGCAGGATTTGAAGCAGCTACTGAGAATTAATTCCGGGGTGGTGGTGGTGGAGTGGCCATTCTGAGTACAGGCTGCCTCCCTGGGGGTAGGTGGAGAAGCGAGGGTGCTGCACAATTATCCAAGCACTTGGGCACAAGACTAGGAGGTCACCCCTACTCTGTTCAAACTCAGTTGGAGATGCAAAGGATAGGAGGAGCAGTGTGTGTGTGTGTGTTTGTGTGTGTGTTGTAGGGCAGGATGGGTTTGAAGGTGGGGGGTTCTTGCAAACCGTTACAAGGGAAAGGAGCTGGATCAGGGTCAGAGGTGGAGGGGTGAATGGGGGCGTGGTCAGAGGGGGCAGCTCAAATCCAGCGCCGAGGTTGTCTGACAGGTGTTAAGAAAGCCAGCTGAGAAAGGGTTAAGCGTGCCCCCAACCACTGCCCCAAAATGTTTCCTGTGTTTGAAATAGTTCGTGTCTCTGCAAACCCTCTGGCCCAGGGCCAGGCGGGTATTGTCCGGGGAGTCACTATGCGCAGCAGCCTTTGTTGTAGGGGGCCACCTCGGGGTTCCCGCTCGCGCCCTGGCTGGGGCTGCAGAGTGTGTGTGTCGGGATGGGAGTTGCAGTGGGGGGCGGCGCTGCACGCTCGCTCCCCCTCCCTCTCCCTCTTCCTGCCCCCGCCTCCAGCCCTCCCGATGACCACATGACCAAATGGGCTCACAGCCAAGCCACTGGCTACAAAACGCAGCCCCTGGAGTGAGTAGGGAGCTTTCTCGCTGGCAGCTGGGGCCACAGGCACTTGGAGCCGCAGCGGAGCAGCCAGCCTCTTAGAAAAAGAACAGCTTCGCGGCGCTGCCGGGTGCCGGAGGAGACCGAGGCTGCATCGGCGCGGAGACAGCGGCGAGCGACCGCAGCGGACCGCAGAGCCAGCAGCGCAGCCCGGGAGCCACGCGAACTCGCGCCCCACACGCCTGCCGCGGCGCGCGCCTTCCAGTGCCTTCGGGCGCAGCTTTCCTCTCCACCCTCCCGCTAGCTGGCCGGGGCCGCGGCGGCCCGAGGGGCAGCATGAATCTGCGGCTGTGCGTGCAGGCGCTCCTGCTGCTCTGGCTCTCCTTGACCGCGGTGTGTGGAGGTGAGTGAGCGGCCAACCGCCGGTCGCTCCGCGCTCCCTCGCCGCTCGTCCCGGCTGCAGGCAGCCGGCGCGCTGCCCTCCTCTGCCCTTTGCCGGCCGACCTCCTGGGGAGCCCGGCGCGAGCGCTGCAGCAGCAGCCACGCGCCGGCCGCGCCGGGAGGCCCACTGACAGGGCGCCCCCGACGCGGGGTCGGCCAGCTGCACGGACAGCTTGCAAGGCGGGAGAGGTGGCTGCGGGTGGGAGACGGGAGAAGCGCAGCTCAGCCCAGAACATCACCTGCCGGGGCTGCTCACTCCACACACTCCGTGCTCCTACTGAGGGCAGTTCCAGAGCCAGGGGCTTGTGTCCCGCTTCTCTTGTCCCACGTGGTGGGGGGTGGGGGTCGTGCAACGTTCCCCTTCGTGGGTCAGTGGAGGGAAGTGAGCTGAGATAGGTGGGCTGGGCCCCCACATTGAGGGTCTTTTGGCTCTGAGGGGTAGTGGCCACCGACAGATCCCGTAGCTTGGCCGCCCGCAGGGATGAGCATGCCAGTTTGCAGACGTGACACTTGCTGCATAGGCAAGAGCGCTGGCGGCAGGGAGCCCAACTGTTGCTCCTTAAGCGGGCTTGGGAGCTGAGGCAGCTCCGATCCCCATCCCAGATGTGAGCTGGTCTCTGTTTCTCGGGACCTCAAGGCCCTGGCAGCACCCCTCCCTGCTTCCCTCCCCCCCCCCCCCGACACCAGCCCTCCTCCACAACCTCCTTCCTTGTTGGGGTGGTGGGGGGTCTTGTTTCTTCCATATCAGGGCTGCAGCCTCTCCACTGCCCCAGGCATGAGCGTGATTCATCCTGGTCCTGCTGGGTCCAATGACCTGACACCTACATTTCTCCCCCAATACACCCACACCTGACAAATTACTTGGCACTGGTCCTCATGTGCCCACCCCATGGCTGGTCACCTCCCATACAGTAGCAGCTCCACTCCAGACTTACCTCCCTGTGGCCACGTCTCTGGGGGCTATCAGCTCCCACCTGCAGCTGCTACGGTCCTGTGACCTGGCTGTCACTTCTGCCTGTCCAGTGCCACATAAAGGCAAGGCCAAATCTAGGTGGACTAATGCCAGTGGCAGGGATAGAGGGGCAGGGAGCTGGCAAGAGAGGGCAGGGTGGCAGGGTTCCTAGAGGAAGGGCACAGGCCCCTCCTTGGTCCCTGTTCCTTCAGGACGGCCGAATGACTTGGCGGCTCAGGAACCTCAGAGGGGCCCAGGCAGCTCTGCCTGCCTCTTGTGCTAGGCAAGTCTCCTTCCTCTGTTCCTGGGAGCATCGCCTGGCTTCCCAGCAAGGCTCATCGCTTGGCTCTGCTGCCTCCTGCCCGCAGGTGGCTATTCAAGTGCTTACTCACTTCTAGACTTGAGCACTGAGTAGACCATCTCTGGGGAAAGAGGGGATGGGCTTTTTCTCCAGGAGCTCCTGTTGGGCACCCAGTGGCTAGCAGGAGCCAACACTTGTGAATGAGAAATGACTGCAGGGCGTGAGCTCCAGGAGCCACCATCCAGGGTAGCTGGCAAGAGGAGGCTCACCAGATCGCACTGCAGGCCAATCACTCAAGCTGGAGCCTTCAGCGAGGAGAGAGTGGGTGTAAAGAAGTTGTCCCTGAGGGAGCCAGGCTTGCATCTGCACACTTCAACCTTCCCCAGAGGCTACTCAGAAGACCCTTGGCCAACAGGCCACCCCTTGACTCCTTTTGGAGATGGGCTATTGGAGCAGTGATGGTAAAGAGGAGAGCTCCATATGAGGGAACACAAGTTGATCTAACCCAGACCCTGCCTCTCCTCGCTTTAACCCACCCTTCATAGTTAGGTCATCTCCAGACCTGACTTGGGTAAACTCATTGCCCTGTGCATTTGGCTCAAACTTAGCAATGGAAACTTCCACAGCTCCCACTTCTATTATCCCTTTGGCTTCTCCTAGAGCCATAATACATGCAGGTGGCCATGCTCCCCCCACCTCCTGGTCCAGCTAAACATACCCTTCTCCTGTTGCCTCCTATCCTGTGTTAGAAACAGGGACCCCTACGGGGCTGCATTATGGTGCAGCGGGTTAACTCTCTGCTCGGGGTGGCTGCTTCCTACATCAGGGTGTTGGCTCAAGTCCCAGGCACTCAGTTTCTGGTCCAACTTCCTGCCAATGCATCTGGGGGTGGGAGAAGCAGAGAATGATGGTGCACCTGTATAGGAGACTCAGATAGAGCTCCTGACTGTTGCAGGCATTTAGAGAGTGATCCAGTGGATGGATGGGAGACCTCTTTCTCTCTCTCTCCTTTCTTCCCTTTCTCCCTCTCTGTGACCCTGGCTTTCAGGTGCGTGAAAGCAAAATAAGGCCATAAAAGGAAGAAACAGGAGGCCCCTTGGCCCAGACTTGCCTGCTGTCCCCAGCCAGAGTCCTCAGGCCGGGCTGCAGGCATGCTTCCTCCTGTCCCCACACTCTGTCCTGCTCTGGAATGTCCACTCCCACGCGCCTCCTGCCACTGCCTCCTGACCTGGGATACACTTTGCTCTTCTGAGGCTGCTGGGCCAGTGCCAAGTGTCCCTTGGTCTATGTCTGAAGGCCTCTCTTTTCTTCGCCTGCTGCCTGCTCCAGCTCGAAGGAAGCCCGCAGTCACAGTGGCAGTGTGAGGATAGCCTACTGTGCCCCTCCCATTCGCCCAGGGAGGAGCACTTACAAAGTGTCCCCAGTCTGAGGTTCTAAGCAAGCCTACCCGTCCACATGGTAACCTGAGCCAGGCCTCTCCGGGCAGAGGAGTGAGGCAAGTGACAGGGAGGGCCAGGCTGCCAAGGCATGGAGCATCTGAGGGCAACAGACCTGGCACTGGAAGACAACCCAAGGCCCCGGAGAAGGTGACAGGTTATGGGACTGGACAGACAATGGAAAGGAGCCCCATCCTGCAGACACACAGGGCTATAGGACAGGGGTTGGGTGCAGCCACAGAGGTCCCTATCATCACAAGGCAGGCCAGACCACGTGAGGAACAGCAGGTGCTTCATTCCTGGTAAGGCTGGTGTGTTCCTGAGCAGTTGTGCCTACCTTAGGGTCTTTAGGGATTCGCTCCCTTGCAACAGCCAAGGACATGGCACAAAATATTCAGTGGGGCTGAGGGTGGGAAGGGGAATCCTATAGAGCCAGGGCCTCTGCAGCGATGGGAAGCCAGGGCATCCCAGGTAGCCTGCTAAGCTGCATCAATGCAGGATAGGAAGCAGGTGGCTAAGGAGCTCAGCCAGCCAGCAGAAGCCCAAAGCCTTCCAGCAATCAGGAGGAGAGTGGGCCTCTAGCCGATGAGGTCTAAGAAGCCTAAGGCTTCAGGGTGGCTGAGGGCTCAGTTGCTTTGGGGTGGTCCTTCCTTGTGGGCTTAGAATTTGGGGCATCTTCCCTCCCCCTCCTGGCTCTGGGCCTGCCTCTGGGTTCTTCCCCATCAGCCTCCCATTCCCAGCTGGCACAGACACCGTTACGGGTGCTGAGCATAGGAAGAGGACCCCGCTCCCCATCTTGGCACCTGCTGGGCCTCTGGATGCAATGGCCTGTGCTCTTGCCCCACCTGCAGGAGTTGAAGGCCTGCCTGTGAGAACCAAGGCTTCTGTGGGGTTCTTCCCTGTGCATGGCCACAGCCTCGGAGCATTCCTTCTTACCTGAGTGTGTTGCTTCCATGGACACTCCATCAGCTTCCTTCATACCCACCTGCAGTAGGCAGGCTGAGCCTTGAGGGGACCCCTAAACTCACAGCAGAAGCCACAGTAGCTGGTGTGTGGTGTGTGTGTGTGGGGGGGGGTGGGCTTGGTAAAGCCCTGTCCCTGCAGATGGCTCTGGGACAGTCACACAGAAAACAGTCCCCTTTGTCACAATCACACCTACTGCTCCTAAGTGCTAATATGATTTTGATCTCATTCTCGGAAGTGTCAAGGATAGTGAGTCGACTCAGTAACCCCCTTGAGTATGAGCATAGCTGTATGGTTTCGTTCACTGAATGATCCTGGTAACTGGCCACTTCCTAATGGACCAGAGAGTTTCTTGTGGGGTTTTTCTCTGTGTGCCTGGATGTGAGTCAGGGAGAAAAAGCAGCCATCCTGGGAGCCATAAGGACAAACCTCACCCACTTTTGGCTCTCAAGGAGGCCAAATGCCTGGAAATTGTGTGTGCAAGTGGAGGAGGAATCTAAGGGCGGAGGAACCCAGGCGGGAATCTGAGTGTGAGGATGTGGGGAAGCAGGGGAGAGGAGGGGAAGGAAGGGCCACCAGGGGGAGCCAGCTGGGGGTGAGCTGCCAACACAAGCTGGATGGAAACTGTGAGCTGGTGGTGATTGCTGCATGAATGAGAGTGGGGCTCATGGGCCAGCCGTGGAGAGAACTGAAGGCAGCTTCCCACAGCCATCTCCTTCACCCAGGCTGCCTGCCTTGGGAGCCCAGGTGCCAGCTGCACCAGTATGGCTGCAGTGCAGGCTGCATGCAGGAGAGCTAGCCTGTGTGCCTTTTCCCTTATCACGCCCAAGCAAACACAGCACCACTTGGACTCCATTGTCAGGGCTCAGGCTGGCATGAGGAGCCCGAGAGCAGAGCAGAGCAGAGTCCAACTGGGCTTGGAACAGAAGGAGTTAACCTCATGCATGGCACAGGGCTTTGTGATTGGGCAGTAGGAAGAGCTTGGGCACAGGTTGTGAGGGGCTCACTGCAATAGCCTCCCCCGACTCTCCACCCTACCCTGCCACCTCCTGAGCGCAGATGTGCTGTTCCAAGTGATCAAGTTCACTCATTCATCTACTCATTCATGTCCTGTGCTATTTTTCAGCTTCTGAGTCTGGCAAGTGGAGGGAGTGGGACATGCCCCCTAGCCACACCCACCAGGAGAGCCTGGTTGCAAGAGTGAGCCCCAGAACTACTCCAGGGAGGTGGGAGATATGCAAGCTTCAGTGCTCCAAAGTGGATCACCCTGCAATGGAAGAGTACAATGGCCTGATGGTCAAGGCTAACTTTAGAAGACTCTGCCGGGGCCAGCATCATGATGTAGCAGGGAAAGCCGAGTCCGGACTGCCCCACTTCTCATCCAGCTCCCTCCTTGTGGCCTGGGAAAACAGTAGAGGATGGCCTTGGGACCCTGAACCCAGTGGGAGACCAGGAAGAGATTCCTGGTTCCTAGCTTCTGATTGGCTCAGCTCTGGCCATCGCAGCTATCTAGGGACTGAACTATCAGATCAAATCTTCTCTTTCTCTCTCCGCTCTCTGTAACTCTGCTTTTCAAATAGATAAATAAATCGCTAAGAAAAAAAAAAAACCCTACAGCCAAGAATGAAAGAGAAGGGAAAACTATAGCTCATGGGACTGTGTAGGAGTCTTTGTGATGGCATGAGGTCAGAATGTTTGACTTGTGCTGGTTGCAGGGATGTCATGGGGTCATGTGCGCTGCACTGCAGCCCAGAGTACAGGCACAAAACCCTAAAGTGCGCCACCCCCAAATCAGAAAGAACTTATTTAAGTCTGTCACAACATGAATTGACTGCAGGAAGGATAAAAAATCATGGTACATACATTGAAGATTTTTCATCACCATCCAAAAGAAACGCAAAGAAAAGTTCTGAGGAGCGCCCCCTGCTGGAGAGACTACCTCTCCCGGGGGCCTGCGGGTTCCAGATTGGGGGGGAGGGGCTTTGCACCCCACCCCTATCAATTTTCATCAGTCTTCCTCCTAACAGGCTTTCTTTTCCCCACAGGGCCCCTGGTGCAACCTCCTGATGGGAAAGACCTAGAAGAAGGCAATATTCGCTACTTGGTGCAGCTCAAGGGGTCCAGGAAGGGACCAGGGCCCTGGCAGGGAAGTCGCAGGAAGTTCCGTCGCCAGCGGCCACGCCTCTCCCATAAGGGCCCCATGCCTTTCTGAAGCAGGTACTGCAGCCCCTGGCCAGTGGGCAGGCTCCAATGTGCTGGGGGAGGGATAGCTGGGAAGCTGGTGACCCCGTGACCTTGTCGCTTATCACTAGCCAGACTATATCCATCAAGCAGTCCCCACACCTCCTTCCCCCTACACACACAGGGCCTTCGAGCTGCCAAGCACCCAACTTGTGGAGTGCCCGTGTGGCCCCTGCATTATGCAGAAGTGGACATGGATGCCCACAGAGAGGCTGGACACTTGGGCTCATCTCCTGATTCTCCAAGAGTAGAGAGCCAGCTCTTCTCCACTGCCTCCCGGGAGTTGGACAGGCTGACTAATTGGAGAGTTCTGAAAGTCCTTGATAACTTGCTGGGCCTTGATGACCAGTAGGAGAAGGGGTGGTTGGGGTGCTTAGGGTGTGACTGTGTATGTTTAACATGGACCTCACCTTATCCAGGAGTGAGGGAAATGAGGCAGAAACCCACGAGGATAGCAGGCAGAAAGGGAGGTGGGGCAGTGTGACTGCAGTTGTCCGGAATTGGGGGGCAGGGATGAAAGCTGCCTCCTCTTGCTTGAGACATACAAGTGTGTCATACAAGTGATGTCTTCATCTCTCCTTTTTGTCTCTTTAGGACTGAAGGTGCCCCCAAGGGCCTGCCCCCCGCAGTGCACTCCACAAATCAGCCTGCTTCTCTGGAGCCCTCATACCCATTCAGCTGTTGTCTTGCACTTATTCTAGCTGCTGATGGTCCTGACCTTCGCACCCACCAGCCGCCTGCCGTGGTGTGGTCCCAGCCCTCGTTCTGATGATTCCAGTTCTCTCGCAAGGATCCATGGAGGCCACCTTCCTGGCCCCTGCCTGGACTGACTTTGGAGACCCAGCCCTGGGCTTCCCCCTCTGCTCCCCGTGGCCCTCTGCATGGCTCTAGTCCTACCTCACCCACCTCGGGGACCCAATCTATATACTTAGCCCTTCCTTTCTCACCTCTGACCTGGTGGCTGCCAGGAAATGTTCCCTTAAGCAATATTGTCAATGGGATTCTCACCATGACACCGGCCTCTGCACAGGAACACACAGAGGTGCAATGAAGACTCCGATCACAGGGGCTGAGTGTTGACACACAGACAACAGGGTGCATTGGGGATGCCACATGGGACTGGTGCTCTGGAGATGGTGGTTGGCATCCTCGGGAACCTTCCCTGACCTTTGGGGTGGTAGCTCAGGTAAGAAGAGGGGAACAGGAGAGGCCACTGTCACTGCTCACACCTTATTGTGTCTCCTAATACTCATTTCTAAGTCTCTCCCCCATCCCGCCCTCCCAGCAAAATTCAAGTTCTGGGTCAGGATAGAACTGGGACACTGGTTCTGCCCTGGGTCTTACCCACAGAGGTAAGAGTGAAGCAAGAGGATTGTTTTGCCAAGAATTACAGACTGTCAGAGCTGAAAAGACCCTTAGCAATCAGTTAGCTCAGTGTCTGTTATATTATGTGGATGCCTACAAATACAGAGACAGTGACCTGCTCAGGGGCTCTGCAGAGGCAAGAATGAGGACCAGGTCTCCCAAACCCCCTCTTTATGATGCCCTCTTTCCTCTCAATGATATCTTCCCAACACAATGAAGTGCCTTTTTGAGGGCTTGGTGCTGGGGGCTAGTTATGAAGGGTAGGGAGAGGCAAGCTGGCTCCTCACAGCCCCTTCAAGGGGACAAAGCCATCCTCTGCCGCTGGCCTGCTGCCTCACACTACCAGCGCTGCCCAACTCAGGCCCTGCTAGTCTAGACTTGAGCTCAGTTACCTTTCCTTCCTGTTGATGGGAGAAGAAGGGAAGGAGCTCAGGCAGAGCAGAAAGAAGGGTGGGAAGAAGGACAGGAACGGAGGAGGGAGGAGAGAGAGGAGCAAGTGATGGGGGGCGCTCTCGCCCTTTGCCAGAGCAGGCTTCCTTCTTGGGGTGGGACTGGGGCTCCCAGGAGGGAGAAAGGGTGGGGCAGAAGCCTGGTCCCCCTCACCCATTGTGTGAGCGCAGGGGTAATGAGGGCAACCCCCACCCTCCACCCCAGAGCGCCACAATAATCCCAGTGTTTATCTGTCTGCCTTTCCCCAAGTCCTTTACCTGTGCTGCTGCTGATGCTGCTGCTGCCACCGCTGCCACCACCTCCAGGCCTATCCTGGGGAGCTGACCTGGTCACCCTGATGACTCGGGGTGGAAGGGTGCTCAGTGTCCAGAAAGACTATTCTGTTGCTGACTCCTTACCAGGGCCCTGGCCCTCCCTTCTCTTCCTCCTCTTCCTCCTCCTTTCTTCACCTGCTGCCTGCATAAGCTGCAGCCCTGCTCAGTTGCCGTGGGAAAGGGGAGAGAAAGGGGATGTCAGGTTGAGAAGGTTGGGAGATATAGGCCAGAGGAGGGTAGTGGGAGGGCGGGGTGGGGTGTGTAGGGGGGGGTGAGTGCTACCTTATTTAAAATGGTTGTGTTTAATTCTTATGCTAATTTATACAAAGAGATGAAGGCCTTTTGCATTAAGAAAGTGTCCCCTCCCCATAATTTGTGTTCACTGTGTTTGTAAAGATTATTCTGTGTAAATATTATCTTTATAATAAAGAGTTAAAAGCTGCCAATTCACGCTTACTCTCGGAGGTCATGTTCAGGACCATGGCTGTCCCTGTGCCTGCACACAGCACGTATCATGTACCAGGAGGCAACTACCTGCTTCTCAAATCAGTTTTAGGCCAACTGGTCACAACGCAATTGGCCACAAGCTCACAAAAGGAATTTTGGGGCTTAATGACCAGTGTACATAAAGTGTAGCCCACTTTTAAGTTGTTTAGCATTTCTATGGTTGTCCAATTTGGGGGGAGGGTGTGTAGTGTTGTTTAAAGGATTTTTCAAAGGCAATGTCTTTAAGACCCTGCTGACTAAAGATGGGATGTCTATTAAAGACCATTTTGTAGCCTTGGTGGGTATCTTCTCTTTCATCTACTTTCAGAACACTTTCAGGACTTTCTAGCCAGTTCGCCTTCTCTGGAGAAATGTTTTGTTTTCAGCAACAAGTACCTTTGGTAAGGACTTGTATGTATCACTTTATGTCTCATGAAATCGAGTTGCTTTGATAAATGAGATAGCCTGAAAAATAAAATGCAAAGAGTTCACCACGAGTCTGCCCCATCTGTCTTACTTCTTCATGCTGGTTGTCAAAATGCCAATATCTTGGGGGATGGAAAGGAACATTGGCTACATGCTAATTTGGTTAATAATCCCATTAGGTGTACACAGGCATACGCACTGCAGAGCAAAGTGGGTGCCTTCGATCAATCTTGCGGTGAATTCTATAGATTGGACAAGTATTTAGTCCTGGAGATACAGAGTCTTAAAGGCGCTTCAGATAAACTTACTCGAAAGACATAAAACTGCTCAATAGGAGTGAAAATAGAAAAAGTCAGCCGCAAGCCTTCAAGGCAGTTTTGTCATTGACTGGCTGCAGCAAATTGTGACACAGTGATTTAAAAATACACCACATTGGACATGCCTCTTAGGAAAATCAGTGCAAAGTGCCTTATTTTCAAATTACTAGTTTGATTTTTAGGCAAAGTGATCATCAGAGGGACTAGCTTTAAGCAGACATTTTGGGTGGCCCGGCTTTATTCTGATTGGTCTGTTATCCCCCTGGTAACCCCCAAAGCTCTCATTTCATAGGAAACCAAGAGCTGATGGGGTCAGGGCAACAGTATGGACCCCTGAGTGTGCAGGCCTGGAACAGTATAGAGTTCTCGAAAAGAGAGAGACTCATGGGATCACCCTAACGACTGCCGATGAGAAACCAGAAAAAGAGGGGAAGCAACTTGTGCCAAACCTCACAGCTAGCTAGTAACTGGCATAAAGTCTGGTCTTTAGATTCTAGAATTCAGTTCTTTCCACAGTACTGTGGAATGGTCATCCAGTTAGAGAGATGAACCATTGCAAAGTGCATTGGCATTCAGTGTGAAGTACCACAGAAAAGTGAGAGTGCAAGACATTGATTGGTCAGTGGACACTGGTGGCAGCAGTGAGAATGAATGGAAGTGGAGAAGTGACCCAGCTGGCCCTGGAAAAGGTCTAGGAGCATTTCTTTCAATTGGGCTGTGGAATGGGCAGAGATGATAGGCAGTGGAGGTGGGAACCAGACACGAAGGCACCTTCATTCGCACCCAACTGGATTCTACTGGATGGTTATCGGTCTGATGTCCTTGGAGCATAAAAAGAGGGAAAGGAAAATTGGGGGTTTTCTAGGAAGATAATTAGACCCAGAACCACAAGAAGGTGGGACATGTGGTTTTGCCATCCTTTGCAGTTATGTTGACTTGGCCCAGTGAACAGCGTAGATTCATAGTAGGGAGTCACTTTGGCAAGTCACAGAGTTTTAGAGCCAAGAGAAAGGAATTCACTTCCATGACGGTTTCTGGACAGGGGGTCGTGAACCGAGAGGTTGAAGGGCAGGGGCCCAGAGGAGCCGAGAAAACATCACTTTGAATCTATCCGGAAATTCAGCAGCCTCTGAAATGACTGAGATTAGGAGAAGCAAACAGACCCAGACCACACACAGCTTCTCAGGCCCCCGGGTGCTGTGTCAAATGAGCCAGAGCCGCTTTGAAGCCTAACATTTTGGACTCTCCCAAGAGCCTTGGCTGTGTTGGTACCCCCTGATGGCACCATCAATTAGGGCTGTGTCTCTCTTGGCCACCATAGAGCGAAGCAGGAGGCCTGGTGTGAACTGTCTTCTGTCATTGCTGAGCAGAAGGGGCCATCAATCTGTCCCTTCATTTCTGCACCCCAGAAGGGCTGCTCACTCAGTCAACATTTCTCTGGAACCTGCCCCTTCCTCCTGCCCTGTGGGCCTCCTGGGACAAGCCAGTTCTCCCCTAGGGAGTGGCCCGTGCTTACAGAGGGAGTTGGCTAAGGGTCTCCCCTTGCTGTTGCCTTGGACTTCCGCCAAAGGCTAGAGCCACATCCAGGATGCTTCCTGACACATATCAGATCGGGGATCAGCCAGTACTTTCTGCAAAGAGCCAGGGAGTTTTTTGGTGGGTTTTTTTTTTTTTCCTCTGTAGGCCATATGGTCTCTGTCTCAACTACTCAGCTTGGCCATTGTCAAGCTCAAGCAGCCATAGGCAATATGTCTACCAATGGAGATGGCTATGATCCAGTGACACTGTATTTATAAAAATAGGTGGCGGGCCACAGTTTGCCTAACCCTGTCGCAAATGAAGCATCAGCAAGTCCGTCAACTCAGTGCTTGAGCCATTGCCTGGGGCCCCAGGGGAAGACCTACATTTTACAGCAACTTCTTGAGTTAAAGGAATGAAGTACACCAGTTATGGCATTTCTATATCAGACTCTGATAGTGTACATACAAACAAGGGGCTTTTGGTGGAAAGGGAAAGTTTAGCATTAGAGCAGGATTGAAAGCCTGGCACCAGTATTTACCCATCTGTGGTCCTGCCAGGGGCTGTACCTGTGTTTCCACGTAGGCCAGATTAGTGCTGCCTTGCTGAACACCATGATGCAGTTAAACTGCCTGGCGTGGGGCTCAGCCCATTGGGATAGGCTCATTATGTGGGAGCTAGTTTCTCTGCAAAGCCTTGTTCTAACTCTGAAATATGGATAGAACAAGCCTTCATATCTCCAATTTATAGACAGAGAAAATGAGTTTGTGGAGGTCAAGTCGGTAGGTGAAATGCACACAGTCACTTCGGCAAGTCAGCTGGCACATCTGGGTCTGTCCTCAGCTCGCGTCAGTTGCATGCTCCTTGCTAGGGGCCCACTTCCCCAACATGAGTGGGCTACTGCTACTGGAAACTTCCATCTCCTAGACAATCTGTAGGATCTCCATAGGGTCAGATTAGATCCCCAGCAACCTCCCTTGTGATGGCCTAGCTTGGGCAGTAACCCAAGAGGCCATGCCAGAGGTGCTGAGTATTCAATGGCCTCTAATGTGGGCACCTTGGCCTGGGGCTGCAGGAGATGCTGGGGCCTCCACCTCAGAATTTCCATACTGTGCCACCTGAAGGATTGCCCTGCTTCCCTGGATGCTAAAGAATTCCCAGGCTGTGCCAGCAGTGAAGCATAGTATGCTAAGCCTCT